GAAATCTCACAGTGGAGCATGCCTACCGCCTCTGGATTTGAGACTAGGTCTGGGATGAGGCATACTTTGTCAGCCATGACCAAAGAAATGCTTTGCTTAATTATCCTTCTTTGTTACAAGAAAGAGTTCTACTGAAGGTGGAGGAGGAATTTAGGGGAGAGTGATTACAAAATGAGGATGATAAAAAAAATACACACATTTCTCCATATAAGTGCTATATATAAATAACTGAGAAGCAATATGATGTAATGGATAAACAGGTGATCTCAAAACCAGGAAGAGTGGGGCTCAAATCCTGATTTCTGAAAAATACTGGCTGTGTGATTTTGGACAAGTCACTTAACCTCTCAGTACTCTAGGCAATTCTCTAAGATTACAAGTATCAGAGAAGGTGCTGACCTGCATTGGCAGAAAACAGTTTTCTCACACAAGATAACATATATAATATATAAAACATAAATATGTGTGTAGATTTGTGTATAAGTGTGTATATACATATGTTATGTATGTATACACACACACACACACACACACACACGCGCGCACGCGCGCACGCGCGCACACGCACAATGCAGGTTAGTCTCTATCCAAAATAAGTGATACGTTTCCTGAGCCGGGAAACCTTCCTTGGCTAAGCTGATCCAGGCATAGGACCAATGACTCATAGAATCTTGAAACTGGAAAAGAAGACTTAGAATCCATCTCTTCTCGTTTCATTCCACTCCATTAGTGGTAGAGGTAGAAGAGGTGGAAATGAGAAGAGAGAACGTTTCAGTTCTATGGAAAGGAAAAACGGTCTTTTTTTTCTTTTAGAAAATAAATTTTATTACTATCTTTTGTTTTTACATCACCAACATTTCCCCCTGTATCCCTTCTCTACCCTCTTCCCTCTTCCCTCCATAGAGGCATCTTACATGATAATGAATTGTTTGAAAAAGAAAAAAGAGGAAGAAGGAAAAAATCAACAAAATCAATACATTGAAAAAACCTGACAATATACGTAATATTTCATGCCCATGGATCTCCCAAATAGGTAAAGAAGGAAAAGGGGTATGTTATCATATTTCTTCTTTGGGGCAAAGTTTTTTCTTTGTAATTTTACAACATTCATTTTCAGTTGTTTGTTGATATGGCTCTTTTCTTTTACATTGTTTTCTATTGTTGCCCACTTACATTGTCTCTCTCCTTCAGAGCATTGTTGTAGCCATGGTTCATATCATTTTCCTGTATCTGCTTACTTCACTTTGCATCAGTTCATGTAAATCTTTCTATGCTTCTCTGTATTTGTCATATTTGTCAAAGAAAGATGTTCTATTTAAGATAAAGCAATAGCTACCACCAGGACAAAGTTGCAAAGTAAACACCCTGAAAGTTGACCTCAGGCTTCTCCTTAGATGGGTGCTAGGAGATAGGGATCAGATATCTCATTCAGAAAAAAATCAAAGCTGGAAGAGCTGAAATATCTTTCCTGTTTGAATGCTTCAGGAAAACAACCCTGTATCATCAATATGATATTTATAAGCATGTGGAAAATCCAGAGCTGGCCTCTGAAAGGCTTGTGGTCACTGTTTTCTTTTATCTCTGACAAAGATCATCATGATGATAATATCAATGACTGTGCACAAAACTCCCGAGCGGATGCCAGCAGCCAATCTCTACTGCCTGTGCAGACCTGATAAAGAAAGCATCCCTCTTTGAGCAAGCCAAATTTTATGGAGCCAGGCTCAGAATCTCCCTTCTTTAGTTAACTATCTTTTTTTTAGCTTTTTTTTTCAGGATCATAAAAATTAGATTTTAGAGTTTGTGTGGCTAATGTGGTGAGAGAAGGTAAGCTCCCTGACAGCAGGGACAGCTTCATTTTTTCTTTGTGCCCCAGGGCCCAATATGCTTATTGATGTGACCCAGTAGCCAGGGAACTCTCCTTGGGAACAAGTATACTTGGGCTGAAGTCTTACCTCTGACTGTTAGTTGTACAGTCATGGTCAAGTCAGTGGAGAACGTTCTCCCTTGCTTCTCTGAGGGTAGTGAACACTTTTGGTGCTTGAATCACCCTATTTGATACCTCAACTAATAGTGATGATCAGAAGATCAATTAGCTAACTTACTAAGTGATTGAATTTATCAAGAAGGGCAGCTAGGCGGTGCAGTGGATAGAATGCTGGCCTGGAGTCAAGAAGGTATCTTTCTGAGTCTGAATCCAGCCTGAGACACTTACTAGCTGTGTGATCCTGGGCAAGTCACTTCACCCTGTTTGCCTCAGTTTCTTCATCTGTAAAATGATCTGGAGAAGGAAATGGCAAAGCAGTCTAGTATCTCTGCCAAGAAAACCCCAAATGGGGTCAAGAAGAGTCAGACATGCCAGAAAAATGACTGAACACATTTATCAAGAAATCTCTCATTGTTGTAACATTAGATACCTTGTTAAAAGATGGTCTTTGAGGTTGCATTTTGCTCAACAAAGTTAACTTAAAAAACCCAACAAGATCTTGTCTTCTCTACAGCTTTCAATACAAAACAATAAACATTTGTTAATTATCTACTATATGCCAGGCACTGTGCTAAGTGCTAGGGTTACAATTAATAAAAAGAAAGATAGTCCTTTCCCTCAAGGAGCTTACAGTCTAATGGGGAGAAGACAACATACAAAAGAAGGCAGGAAAGTAGGGAGAATGTTGGGGGGGGAGCATGAGGTGGTACACAGCGTGGAGGCATCTTGTTGCATGGAGTAGAAACCAGGCAGAGCAGCAGATGCAAAGTGGACTGAGCTGAGTCCAGTTTCTGCTCTCTATAAAGAAAGGCATTGGGAGGAGTTTGGTGCTCCTACTTCCTGCCTTCCAATCAGAAGAGAGAGGAGGCTAAGGGAGTCAGCAGCATGGTAGTTAGTTTGGAAATAATGAGCATATCCTAGGAGAGGGGAATCTTGTTCCTTGGAGTTGAACCTAGGCAGAGTAGTAGATGGAGGCCACTCAGGCAATGAATCAGTCAATCAACAAGCATTTATTAAGAGCCTACTATGTGCCAGGCACTGTTTTAGGTAAAGGGGCTACAAAAACAGGTCAAGTAGTCCCTGTCCTCAAGGAGCTTACTTGCTGCATCTATAGGCATATAGAAAATATATACAAGGTAATTTGGGGAAAAGACAGAGAGAAGGTTCAATCTCTAGAAATGTGTTTGCAAAAGTCTTCCTGATTGCTCCCTTCTCATTTGTTTTTAAAATTAAATACATTTTTGATATATAGGAATTAATTTCATAGAGATTGTACAGAGACAAGAAAATGGACCTATGAGCCCATAATTATTGATGTGGTCTTGATCATCTTTTTAAAAACTCAATAATATCATGCTATTAAGTAATCATTTTGGGTCTTTCAATTTTTCAGATAAATTAAGAATTGATCAGCAAGCTCCTGTTTGAAGATGACACTGTACTCTTTGTGTGAAGCCCCAAAGTATGACAGGACTTCATCAATGAGATCTGCAACCATTCAGAAGAGCTTGGCCTAACAATCTAAACAGGAAAAACCAAATGGACGAAAATTGTCTATAAATAAGAGCTGAGGTTTATACGGTACTCAAAGGCTTGCAAAACACTTTTTCTATGAATTATTTCAATTGATCACAACAGGCTCTGTGAGGTAAGTGGTTTCAGTATATCATGCTATATATAAAGTAGAGACTCTGTCTCCCCCTACTATATGCTAGGAAATTAAATGTGTATACCTTGCAGAATGAGACATTTTTAGACATGGTCAATGTTGGGATTGGCTTTTTTGAGTATACACATTTGTTCCAAGGGTTTTTTTCTTTGTTTTTTTTTTCAATTTTGATGGAGGAGATGGAGGAATGAGGGGATTAGTGATAGGGCTGGGGGGAGAAAAAGGACGAAAAGAGGGTCATTGACACATTATTTTTAATGCACAGAGAAAGCAGCTGGAAGGCCAGAAAAAAAGCACAAGACAATCAGGACAGCTTTGAAAGTTACATATTGAATTAATTATATATTTAAGAGGAAAAGCAAGTTGCCTAAAATAAAGATTCATGGTTTTGTGTACGCTCTTCTCTTTCTGCTCTATTTTGTACACAGAAATCTTCATTTTATTTGATGTTTGTAAAGTTCAAAATAAAAAATAAATATATTTACATTCTCCAGTGGAAGAACATGAGGAAGGGCAGAGCAGGGTGGGCAGAAGAGGTGCTCTTGAATCATCCCAGAGCCACCCCTGGCTCTCCTTGCCTGTTATCATCCCTCTTTTACAGATGAGAAAATTGAGACTCACAGAGGTTTTATAACTTGTCTATGGTAATATAGCTGGTAAATGTTGGGAGCAGGATTTGAACTCCTCTCTCTAGATTTCAAAGTCAGAGCTCTTTGTGCTATACTACACTGTGTCTACTGTCTAGACCAGGGGTGGGGAACCTTGGGCCCTGAGGCCACATGTGGCCTTCTAGGTCCTTGGGTGCAGCCTTTTGACTGAGTTCAAGTTTGACAGAACTATGAAGTTTGGATTCAGTCAAAGGGCTGCGCTTGAGGACCTAGAGGGTCACATGTAGCCTCAGGGCCGCAGGTTTCCCTCCCCCCCCTCTAAACAATAGATATGCAGTTAGATAATCCCCAGTCCGGGTCTTCTTCACTTTATGTATAATCAAGAGCTGTCTGTTGGGCTGATCTAAGATTGATTGACTATAGGAGAAAATCTCTATATCAGAGCAAGAACAATCTTTAATCTCTCTCCTATTTCTTGTCAGTTCTCAATCTTTCCCTTTATAGGGGATCATCCTATTTAATAATTGATTTTTTTTCAAGAAAAACAAAACTTCTTCCATTATCCTACTGTAGGTGAAGAAACAGGAATTGCCTCTCATTGTAAGGAAGACCCAACATCACGTACATGCTCTATGTTCTATCTCTAAAGTCCTTTCCTAGGCTGACATTCTACATTCTACATTGTAAGGTCTCTTCCAGTTTTAACATTCCATCTTCTGTGTTCTAAGGTATCTTACAACTATAGCATTCTGTGTTCTAAGGTTCCTTGCAGTTCTAATATTCTGTGGGTATTATGATACATGAGCTTTGAGGATTTCATACAAAAAAGTGACAGCTTCTTTAAAAAAAAATCTTGACTGGCCTCTGTTTCCCTTTCTTCTACCCTGGGATAATTCAATGTGTCCACCTTTTCTGGGGTGGCATGACAAGAGAATGTCAGAGGAGCAGAAACAGAGGAAGGGGATGATGTTGTCTCTTCACTCCAGGGACATCTCTATTCTTTCTTCCTTAGCTTTCTTCCTTAGTTCCTGTTCTGAATTTCTCTTGTAGTTGAAAATTGTAATTAGTTAAATTGAAAGCTACCTGAAATTGACATCAAGAGAACTGGAAATTCATTCAGACTGTAGTAGGGCTCTAAAACTGAATCCTATTCCATTTTGGAGACCACTTTTCTCCTAGCTGAACTATCAACATCCACCAGATGTTTCTCTCCACCGGACAGAAACCTAACAAAAATCTTTGGCTCTCCTATGAACTCCATTTGCCCCATTTCTCCTTTCAATTCTGATAACATTATATCAAGATGGACATGTAATCATTCACTGGATTGTGACTTAATCTTATTAGACTTGAGTTTCATTCAATGCAAGTATCTCCTTGATGGGGTTCCAGAATACATTTTGTTCGCATTAGCAACACATTCACAAACCACCTCTTAGACCTGGATGTGTCACTCCTCTTAATCTTAGGTGGCTCCCTATTGTCTAGAGGATAATGTTAAAAGTCTAGCATTCAGGGTTGAATCTGGCACCACCCTTCCATTCCAGACTTATTTCATAATTCTATCCCTCGCTGTGCTGGGACTTGACTACTCTCTGTCCCCAAAAAATGGCATACATTCCTTTTTGGGCATGCTACTCCCTGTGCCTGGCATGGGCTCTTTCCTTCTTCCCCTTTAAAGTCTCAAATCAAGTGTCACCCATTACATGAAGCTTTTACTGATCCTTCTAAGTTGGTAATGACCTTCTCTGACTGATCTCACATAATATGTGGCTTTGAGCCTCACTCAAGCTAATCTAGAACTACACTGCATTGTAATTTTTGTCTTCCTGTCTTACCTCTTCCCCACTCAGGCTGTAAACTCCAAGAGGACAGGGGCTCTGGTTTATCTAACCTTAGTATCTCCCCAACCTCAACTCCCAGCAAGTGCTTTTCAAATAGTAGGTGCCTCATGTCTGCTGAACTGAATTGTATAATTGAATTCTGTGTCTCATGCCAATCTCATTCTGTGTTTTGAGGAAGGGATTTGGACATTTTAAAACACTTTATACGTATGAACCATTTTCATTATTATTATTTTCTGCTTATTACATCCTTTAGTTTTAATTATAGCCATACTTCATTTTATTGTGCTCTGCAGATATTGCATTTTTTACAAATTTAAGGTCTGAGCAACCCTGCATCAAGCAAGTCTCACATTGTGTCTCTCTCTATGCTATATTTTAGTAATTCTTGTAATATTTCAAACTTTTTCATTATTATTATTTCTGTTGTGTGATCTGTGATGAATGATCTTTGATGTTACTATTGTCATTGTTTTGGGGCACCACACCCACATAAGGCAGTGAATTTATTTGATAAATGTGTATGTTCTGACTGTTCCACTGACCTGCCATTCCTCATCTCTCTCTTGCTCTCCTTGGGCCTTCCTATTTCCTGAGACACAAAAATATTGAAATTAGGCCAATTAATAACCCAACAATAGCCTCTAAATGTTCAAGTGAAGAGTCAATTGATAAAGCAAACTTCATTGTCGTCTTATTTTAAGAAATTTCCACAGCCACCCCAGCCCTTCAGCAACCACCACCCTGAACAGTCAGCAGCCATCAAAGTCAACGCAAGACCCTCCACCAGCAAAAGGATTACACTCGCTGAAAGCTCAGGTGATGGCTGGCATTTTTTTAAGCAATAAAGTATTTTTAAATTGATGTATGTACATTTTTTAGGCATATTACTATTGTCTACTTAATAGACTACAGTATACTGTCAACATAACTTTTAGATGCACTGGGACACCAAAAAATTCATGTTGACTTGCTTTATTGCAGTGGTCTGGAACTCAAACTGCAATGTCTCTGAAATATGCCTATATATTCTTTTGATTATTAATAATTACATACTTTTAACATCCTTTAAATGATATGTGGCTAACTTCTTGAGGCTAGGGAGAATTTCTCAACCCTTCCCACTCCCAGTCGATAGTACTTTCTTGCCTCTGCTGGAATTAGTGTGTGTGTGTGTGTGTGTGTGTGTGTGTGTGTGTGTGTGATTTGTTTATCTGTGTACATGTTATTCCTTCACCAGTAGAATGCAAACTCTTTGGGGTCAGCATGGTATGGTGGCTAGAATTCTGGGCCTGGAGTCACAAAGACCTGGGTTCAAATCCTTCCTCAAACCCGTATTAGCTGTGTTACTATGGGCCATTTCTGGGTCTCAGTTTCCTAACCTGTTGTAAAAGGAGGGAGTTGGACTCAATGATCTATAAGGTCCCTTCCAGCTCTAAATCTGTAATCCTGTAACTGTTTTGTTTTTGTCTTCCCATCTGTAGAGTGTAATACCATACCTAATCCATAACGCCTGCTTAAACCTATGGTAAATTGGATGGAGTGATTTATTATGCAATCATTCCTAGTTATAATACTTCCACTCAGTATCCTCTCAAAATGCTTTTAAAATGATAGGTCTGGTTATACTCATCCTCAGGTAAGAGATGGTTTGACAGTTGATATAATTGTTCCCAGCTAGCAACAACCCACATTTCTATAGTGTTTTAAGGTTTACCAAGGGCTTTCCCCACAACAATCCTGTGAAGTTGATAAGAATTACATTCCCATTTGGCAGGTGCATAAATTGAGGATGAGCAAGTTTAAGTAATTTGCTCCAGGTTGCAATGCTTAATAAATGTTGGAGGTGAGAACTGGAATCAAAGTTGCTAATGTTATTTCTAACTCTCATTCCACTATACCACACTGATATATAGAGGTGTTGGGGGGTTTTTCGCCTTTGAAGGGTGGTACACAGGATATTCCAAAATAGGAAATGAAATCAATCCTTTGGTCCAAGATATTATAGGTCAAGAAGAAGCCCATGGAGGTGGAAGCTGTCGTATCCCAGCGTGGGGTACAGAGGAAGGGGTATTCAACGTCTGGAGTGACAAGGGAAAACATTCCATCTAGGGAGTAGCAGTCCTCTCCAGGGGAAAACAGGCAGGGTCCAAATCTGGTTCCAAGAGAGTGTAAACCAAATATCCAAGCCAAGTCGGTATCAGGGTTGCTTCAGAGGGCCAAAATCAAAGAGAAAATCATTTGGACAAGCAAAAACTCAGGCTAGCAAGTTGGTATCAGCAAAGGAGGAAAGATACAGGGACTGCTGGGGAACAAATTGTCTGACTCAACCTATCCCCAGAGCTTTTAGGATAGCTGCTTGATCGCCCTTCATCTACTCTGTCCTGATGTGTCTTCATGGTCATGGCCAAGTCTACTATGTTCCCTACTGACTCTGCCATGCTAATAAGGCCACAGGCTCAGACAGAACAACCTTCTAGAAGTACTTGGCTACTTCAGTGACCCAAGTAGCAGAACCGTGCCAGATATGGATGAAGAAGCACCATCTTGGTAAGACGACTTACAATCATTAGAAAATACAGGGGTTCTTAAAGTGGGGTCCATGGACCCCTAAAGAGACTATAGATAGATTTCAGGGTTTCCATGAACTTGTATAGGAAAACATTTCATCATTATTTCAAAATAATTACTTTCCTTTATCATGCTATGGATTTTATTTTATACATTTAAAAACATTATTCTTAGAAGGGAACCAGAGGGTTCACCAGAAATCCAAAGGGTCCATGATACAAAAATGGCCCAGAACCCCTACTCACCGATGTGGCAAAGACATTGATCTGTTTTTGTCCTCTGAAATATACATTCCGATTCATAGGGTCATGATGTCACAGAAGCATACACTTAAAAGTGCTAGGAGGGAACTCGGAGGGCACATAGTTCAAACCCTCACATTATAGATGAGGAAACTAAAGGTATGTGAGTGACTTAACCAAGGTGATACACATAGTAAGTGTCAGAAGTGGGATTCAAACCCAAGTTTCCTGATCTCCAAGCCAATGCTCTTGCCACCACACCATGACCATTCTCTGATTGTTGACATTAATTTATTGAAGGCACTGAGGTAGAGTTGGAGGATATGTATCATTTTGCTGACAATGCCAGATCCATTAAAAAGCAGATTGGATGGGTGTTCCTCTCAGAAAAACAATACATCCTGTTATTTCCTGATGGTTTAGCCAATTTGTTATTTCCCCCCAACCCCAGGGCATCATTACAAGAAGGAGAGATTGCAATGTTCTAAGGATCCTCTCTCAAGGGTGAGGGCCCTAACACAGAACTGTCATCAGCTGTGGGATTGATGAAGGCAGCTCCTTTGTGAATACTGATCTCCTGCTGGCACTGAAACTGGTTGGCATGCCACAGTTCCCAAGGTGTATTGTGCCCTGAGAGAGGGAGCTGAGAGAAGCTCTTGGCTACAAGTTCAGCTTTCTAGAGTCAATAAACCCCGTGACGTTTAGCACAAGACCACTCTGACTTTTGGTTAACAAATGGAAAGGAGCTGCCATGGGGAAGAAAAAGAACAATTGTGTTTTGATGGATGTAACTAAGAGAGACATAGACAGACTGTGCTGGCCAAAGAGTAGATTAAGGGGAAGGAAGAAAAATGTTGGCCAGGCTGCCTTGGCAAGAGGTGGCACCACTCCATGGAGGTTTTCACCAGGGTGACGAATGGGCTGACCATATGCCTGGGAGCTGCTTGGGTTATGAAATAAATGCTAAATCAACAGAGCAGTTCTGTTTCATGGAGCTTTCAGAGACAGACTAAGAGTCATCATTTAGACACCATTTTAAAGCTTACAAGCACTTTCTACATGTAACATTTGTGTATCGACCATGGAGGTTATGTGTATGTCCCCATGGGTTATCTAAAATGCTGTTCTCAAGGAGGCATGAACAAATTCCTCTGAAATATTACCCACCTCTCTCCAAGGGAGGCTTTATTCCTAGCTGGAGAGGAGTCAAGGATTGGGGCCACAAAGCTGGTCGTGAAGAAAGGGCACACGGCTAGAAGTATGTCTATCTGCCCACACAAATCTTGTTAGACTAGAGAATATTATTTTTAATAATAATAATAATAATGGTAATAGCTAACATTTATATAGTGCTGAATATGTGCCAGGCATTGTGCTAAGACTAGGGGAAAAAAAAAAAAGCAAAAGACAGTCCCTGCCCTCAAGGAGTTTACAAGCTAGGGGGAGAGACAACATGCAAATAAATATATACAAAGCAGGCTATGTACAGTATAAATAGGAAACAATTAGCAGAGGGAAGTCATGGAATTAAGAAGGACTAGGGAATGGCTTTCTGTAGGAGGCAGGATTTTAGTTGCAGTCCTGGAAGATAGGTGTCTTTGTTATCCCCATTTTACAGATGAGGAAACTGAAGCAAACTGGGGTCAAGTGACTTGCCCAGGGTCACACAGCTAGTCTGAGGTCACATTTGAATCCCGGTCTTCCTGACTCCGCACCCAGTGCTCGTTACACTGAGCCACCTAGCTGTCTTCAGATTCAAGTTACTTGCCTAGGGGCTTTCCCTCGAAGAGGAATAGGTACCCAGCTTATAACCAAAGGTTTGGCCCCTTCCCACCAAATGCTAGCCACACAAAAACCCATCACAAATAGTGAATAGTGAATAAGTCAATTTATCTAAGCAAATAGCAAGCAAAAATTAGCAAAATTAGGCAAATAATACTATACTAGTCAATAAACATTTACGCACCAGGCACTGGGCTTAGTCCCAGAGTTACAAATAAGAAAATAAAGACAGTCCTTGACCTCAAGGAGCTTACATTCTAATGGGGAAGGACACAACACAAAAGGAAACTAAAAAGGGGAAAGAGGGGAGGAAGGTACCCTGTGCTGGGACATGATAAAGAAATCCAAAGGAGAAGAGCCTGGTGGGAAATGAAGAGATGGCTAATCTGACTCCTCTTTAAACACAAGTTTGGGGAGGAGCTCAGCACCTAGACCTCCAATCAGAGGGGTCCCAGGAGCAGGGAGTACTGGCCAAGTGTGAGTACCAGGACTGGCCATGTTAGAGTGAAGTGAATGTACTCACATGCTGGAGAGAGAGAGCTCCTAGGTCAGCCAAGAGTCAGCCAAGAGGAAATTGCCCAAAGTCTCTTGGAAGGCAAACTGGAAACCAGGAACATGTTGAAGAGCCTTTATATCTATCATTTCTCAAACCCTTTCTTTCCAGGTTTTCTCCCAAAGAGGGTCTGGGACCACATATGTACTTCTTCAAAGCAAAAAACACAAGAAACAACCTCTGACTCCTACTCGACATACAGTGTTGAGTAATCATTCCCTTCACCAGTGAAGAAAGACTCATCTAACCAGCACCCCAATAGCACCACTGGGCTTTGAAACCCGGGTGACGCATGCAATTGTCTTGCCTGACACCACCACCACCAATAACCTTATTATTGGAAGGAAGGTGCTACAGGTAGTATCATGTCAATTTTACAGCTGAGAAAACTGAAGTTCAGAGAGTTTGATTGACTTGTCCATAATCACACAGTTAGAAAATGTCAAAGACAAGAGTTGAACTCAGGAGGAGAATCTTAGAACTTAGTGGCCATGTAGTCCAACTCATACTTGAAAAGGATCTCTCTCTCTCTCTCTCTAAAACTTCCCTCTCAAGCAGTCATCCAGTCCTTTCTTGAAGATATAAAATAAGGGGGAAACCAGTCTTCCTAGGTGGTCCTATTACTGCAGGATAGTGCTAATCATTAGCAAGGATTTCCTTCCATCAAATCTCTATTTCCATCTTTGCAGTTTCCACCCATTGATCTTAATTTTGCTTTCTGGGGCCAAGTAGAACAAACCTAATCCCATCTTCCCTTCAAATACTGGAAGACAGCTATCCTGATCCCCCTGAGTCTTCCCTTCTCCAGGCTAAACATTTTGATTTCCTCCATCCAATTCTCAAATGGCATGAACTCAAAGTTCTGGCAAGGGCCCAGGTCTCTGCTGACTCTGAGTCCAACATTTGTCCCACTAAATCATGCTCCATCTTTGAAAGCATAGAGATTTCAGTTGGTTTGCTGATCTGCTTGTTTTTCTCTTTCTTTTTAAATCATCGTTGCAAAGGATGGTTCACTGGATGGAAGAGCAGGGAGAGATATATTCAGAAATGGAGGTGATCTAAAAAAATTAGTGAGAAGATTTTTTTTATCAAAAGAAAGTTTAGAGATTTTATTTGTGTTTGTTCATTGCTTTGAGACAGAAGAATTCCACCCTCAATTCAGAGAAACTTTACCAAGGAGTCTCAATGAATTCTAGAATATATTGGGTCTTAGAGATGGTGTAGGCCAAACGTTGCCCACCCCTCAATTTTACAGACAAATAAACTCATTTCCTGTAGATCTACTAGTCTGGTTGAGGTGATATCAACCTCAAGGTGGACAGTTGAACAAGGTACTCTCTAGATACCCTTTCTAGACTTGTGATCTCATGAAAACCCAGGCTAGCAAGGTCTGATTGTCAGTTATATTTTATGGCTTTGAAAAAAAATCATCTCAGAAGCAGGGCTGAAAGCACATATGAGCTGCAAATAGAGGGCTTGTGACATTTAAGGTCATATAGAAAATCCAGTTATTAGCATGCCATGGCATTCCCCTCCTTGACCCCAGAAGGAATGTGTAAATTGAAACATATGGAATGCAAGAGTCTATTCAAATGTTGCATAAATCTGCCTGGAACAAAGCGTCAAATGGGATTGCGGCAAAAAGTAGGAGAGCCTGAAAATGCTCTTTCCAACCCTATCACATATATGTGACTGTTAGCCAACTTAGGCCACTAGTGCTTTTGAGAACAATAAATTTCCAAAGAATGCTTTGTTTTTATAAGTCTTTACATGGGCTGTACCTGGGTGGGGAATCTTTTCTAGACCTCAATTAAGCCCGAAAGATTATTTCCAGGATGGTGGCCTGCTAGGGTCATCAGGGCAATTAAAGAGCTGGGAACAGTGGTCAGTTAATTAGAATTAACACCCCTCCCCATCTCTTTTACATAACTCTCTCCCACTGTTTCTTTCTTAAGCACCCTTCCTCTTAATTTCTCCCACTATGTCTTGCTCCACTTCCCATGCCACAAATAAATTGTTAGTCAAAACATAAAACTGAAAATTAATTTTTGAATTGTTAATGTTGATTGAATCAATTTTTAAAATTGGAACAGGAAATAAAGTAAAATTACTATTTTATATTTCTCTTCCTAAGGGAGGGAAAAATCCTTGGAGGGTTTTTTTTAAGCACCCCTGGTGTGGGAACTCCCTCCAACAATGCAGACTCACAATTTTTCTGTAACATGGGCTTGGTGAGTTTCCTTGGGGAAATAAGAGTTTAAATAACTTGCCTATAAGTCAGGAAGACTCATCTTCATGATTTCAAATTCAGCTTCAGACACTTACTAGCTGTGTGATCCTGGGCCAGTCACTTAACCCTGTTTGCCTCAGTTTACTCATCAGTAAAATGAGCTAGAGAAGGAAATGGCAAACCACTCTAGTATCTTTGCCAAGAAAACCCCAAATGGGGTTACAGGGCATTGGAAGTGACTGAAAATGACTCAACAATAAAGCCATGCAACTAGTATAGATAAGAGGCAGGACATGAACCCAGGTCTTCCCTATATCTATTATCCCATGCTGCCTTTCTCTTTGTTGAACTTAATTCTACACATTCAATCCAACAACTTGGATTGTTGGTAAGGAACTGCTATGTGCAAGACTCTGGGGATGCAAGGTAAAAAAAAGAAACAATCCATTCCCTCAAGGACACCCCTTTCTACTGTTTTGTGTCTTTTATGGCCCTTCTGTGCAATGCAAAGGCAACAGGCATTTATTTAGCACTTACCATGTGCCAGGCACTGTACCTGAGTTTTATGAATAATTCGTTTGATCCTCTCAACAGGCCTGGGAGGTAGTGCTATTATTATCTCCATTTTACAATTGAGCAAACTGAGGCACACATAGGTTGAGTGACTTATCCAGGGTCACACCTAATAAGTGTCTGAGGCTGGATTTGAACTCAAGTCTTCCTAACTCCAGGTCCAGCCACCTGGCTGCCTCAAAGTTTCATAAAGAGATTTTACAGGCCATTTCACTTTTTACAGATGAGGAAAGGCCCATTTGGTCAAAGTCACACAGACTGTAAGAGGAGCCAGGATCCATACATAGATCCTCAGACCCTCAAGCCAGCTCTGTTTTTATATGGCCACCTACTCACACCCACCATGCTCCACTCCCTTGCCCCTTCCATGTTCTCCATATTCAAATCACGGGAGAAGAGTGAACAATTACTTTCAGGCATGTGTCATCCCTGGAAGGTGAGCTGAAAAGATGGTGATAATGGTCTGAAACCCAAATGGATCTTGAAATGCCTTGAATAATTAGGGAATGGGAAAGAGAGGCAGCGGTCATTACGACCCTCATAGGAAGTGAGTAGCCCCAGTACAAATGTCAGCTTGTGCTGGCAAGTCAAAAATCAGAGAGTGCAAATTTGTGGCTGGTTGTGCCAGGTTATATCGTATTCAGGTCTTGTCCCATCAGTCAACAGAGCACTGACCTAGGAGTCAGTGTGCCTGGGATCTCATCCTGGCTCTGGTGTTTATTAGCTATCCAACCAACAGCAAGTCACTTTTCTTTCAGCCTCTGTTTCTTCATCTGAACAATGATGAAGGGGACATGGGGGAGGGAGGATAAGTAAAGATCAGGGGCTACTAATTTTTATGTGTGTCACAGATCCTTTTGGCATCTGGTGAAGTCTGGTGAAACCCATGAACTCTTTCTCAGAATGATGCTATTAAATGAATAAAATAAAATGTATGTGATTACAGAGGAAATTGAAATACACCTATAAAACATTAAATGAATTCATGGACCCCCATGAAACTCTTCAGGGACTCCCTGGATCCCTTGGGCTCATGGACCTCAGGTGTAAGAACCCCTGGTCTAGATTATCTTTAAGGTTCTGCATAGCACTAGATTAATATTAAATATAGCACAGGCAAGGTCAAAGTCATAACTAGGGTGGGAGTAACCGAGCTTTATCCCAGGGCACTGAAATTTAGCAGGTTCTAATAGCATTTGTGGTCCTTAAGCAGCACAGAAACAAGAGTTAAATACCTGGTTAGCAATAGATAGATAGATAGATAGATAGATAGATAGATAGATAGATAGATAGATGGATGGATGGATAAGCTAACAGATGGATTCCCCCTTACCTGCCAAACAGTTCCAACACAGGGGACCTCTAGACCAGTGGGGTGGCTCTGCCCTCCCTTCACAGTATCATAGGATCTGACTTAGAGCTTGAGGAGGGGGTAGAATTTAGAGGTCTTTTGGTCCAACTCTTTTTTTTTTTAACAAATTTGGAAACTGAGACCCTGAAAAGTTGAAGTGGCTTTCCCAAGATCACATAAGAAACAAGTAGCAGAACTATAATTTGAGCTCAGGTCCTCCCAATTCAACTCCCTTTCTACGTCTTCACGATGCCTCTCCAATCCTTTCAGTATGGGGTGCCAGGGTCTTCCCCCACAACTTCATTAGGGAGAACGTTTTGTGCCGCTTGCCCAGCAGAAATGGATACTTACATCTTTTCATAAGGAGTTGACATTTGAAGCAGTCAAACAAAATGGAGGGGCTGAGTTTTTGCATTGCACAAAGTAGCCTGTGTGCTGGCAGCCACCCTGGGCGTGTGGTTCCCTGGGATCAGCAGAAGTGAGATCAGAAGAGGAATTTGTAGCAAGTGTTGGAGAAATTGAATCTGATTTTTGGATACAAATGGGATGCCAGACTCCTCTGGCCTGGCTCCTTGTTCACTGAAGCAAAGGCAGAGAAACATTTCCCCAGTGCTTCATCCAAAGGTCTGCTAATTCCCCGACGCCACTGAGGGCAATGATACTCCATGGTTGAGTGGAGAGAAGCTACCCTCCTTCTTGGGTGAGCCAGCCAGCCGAGCAAGCAGGAGAAAGGAGTGACCTTCCTGATGAAAGCTTGGCAGAGAGCTCAGCCTCCACGTGGTCAATGGCCCTCAGCATGGCAGCATAGAGAGAGTGGCTGGATGGAAAGAGGAGATCTGCAAACAGAAGACCTGGCTCCTCCTGCTGCCAGAGACTGGCCCACAAATCCAGAAGATTTTAGTCATTTCTCTGGGTCCAAGCCTCTTTGTCATTAAAACGACACTCTGTGCATATACTAACTCCTCATCTTTGATTCTTGGATTCCTTGAATCATTGCTTTAGAGCTGGAAGGGACCTAAAAGACCAGCTAAGCAGTGTGGCCTAGTAGATAGGGCACAAGTCTCGGGGTTAGGAAGACTAGCCTTCAAATGCTACACTTACCAGCTCTGTGACTCAGGGCAACTCATTTAAACTCTCTGGGTTTGAATCCCGCCTCAGAGACTTACTTTGTGACTGTAGGCAGAGGAGTCTCTGGACCTCAGTTTCCTTATCTGTAAAATGGAATTGGACTCAAATGACCTCTAAGGTCTCATTCCAACCTGAAATCTATGCTCATATGACTTGCTACTGGGGGAGGCTGAGGCTGGTGGATTGCTTTACCTTGAGAGTTTTGAGCCACAGTAGGTCTGAGCCAATCATGTATGGTGAGCCTGGAGGAGCAGAAGGCCTAAACGGGGGTGAACATAGAGAATGGAACAGCTTCAAGACTTGATGCACTTAGGATCAACAAGGGTGATTGAAGGGGCAGCTGGCACAGTGGATAGAGCACTGGCCCTGGAGTCAGAAGGACCTGAGTTCAAATCTGGCCTAGGGCACATAACATTAGCTGTGTGACTCTGGGCAAGTCACTTAACCCTAATTGCCTTACAAAAAAGAAAAAAAGAGAGTGATTGGATGTGAGGAAGGGAGAGATAGAGAAGAAACAAGTTTAATTAGACATCATTCTTGCCCTTGTAGAGATTACTAAGGTCACAATGATAGATAATATTATATGATACATTCATTAGAGATATACGAAACCCAATGCTAGGTGAGGCCTGAGGTGTGAGGGGAAGGGAAAGGTTTTGTGTAGAGGCATTGGTGTTTATCTAAATTGGATTTTGTGGGGTAGGTAGG